GAGATAAGTGTAGTTGTATAGACTTACCCACCATTTTTCAATTACTTATTATGATAATTGTAATTCCAAAATGCTAAGCTTAGGGTCAGTAGACATAATAATAAATGTTATAAACAAGAAGGGTAAGATCTGTGGCGATTCGTATGAGAATATTTACCTGGCCAGATCTTAGTAAATGTCGTGTTAAGAACGAAGAAACAGATATAATTCACACTAAAGTTCGCGCGAAGAAAGGGATATAGAAGACTGTCAAGTAAAATAAATGATTGAGTCATCCACTAAAAAGAAAGCCCAGGAATACGCGGACAAGTTGGAAAGAAGACAAACAAAGGATCAGCTAGGTCTCCAGTATATTCCATTCACGACACAACTGAAAGGAATATCAAATAAAAAACACACCGCCTTTCATTGGCTCAAATGTAAGGTTATCAAAGAAGTATTTGGGCAAAAAAATGCATGCCAAAGTAAGTTAGGTAAAAAGAGGTCCTGGAACAGGTTTTTGGGGAGTGTAGGAGAAAATAAGATGAAAATAATGGTAGGCTACTTCGAATTTTGATCGATATGAACCATTAATTCATCCATATCGATTCGAGACCCATCCAACTCGCTCAACGTAACTCCGGTGTAAGTCTCTACAGCTTTGCGGACGCACGCTGTGTAGAGGCGCAGTTTATCACTGCATGGATCCTCCTCGCCTATCAAGCCTTCTGTCTCACCATTTGAACCCTTCACCCAGCGGCTAAAGTAATCTAGGAAGCAGGCATCATAGGCTTTCTTAAGAGCATTACACTCGGGGGCAAAGCTTCCAAGGCGTGTGCGCGCCAGATCATGATCGTGCATTTTGTCATAAGAATTATTTCCGCTGTTACTGTTGCTACCATCAGAGACATCATCAGAGGTGGTTGTGATAGACGCACTGTCGCCTGAGACTTCCGATGCCTCAAGGTGGATATCTTCTTCAAGCCAGTCTGACTCAGCGTCGGGATCCGGTACGAGAAGAGATTGCTCGCTGCAGGACTGAGATGAAGAATCGGGTGCCTTGGCTGTAGCGAAGCCGAAGAGCCTCATCTGACCAACCGAATGTTGAATTTCTATATATACAGGGCAAACGAGACGAGAAATACTCTGTTATGCATAAAGACTGGGACAATGCTGACTAGGCAGGTTATTTTACCTTTAAAATAGATCAATCTTTGTACGTGAATGAACCACAGGATGCGAAGCAAATTATCCAATTAAGAAGAAATTTAAGGTCCTCTTCGAAGTTCCATGAATTTTATAAAAATTTGAATTTCAATTCTGGCTTCAGGTTACGCAAGATTACGTAACTACTTGTCAATTCAAATAAAGAAGTCCAGGAACACAAGGAAAAAGAGATGAATTTATCTACCATTAAAGGTTAGGAGGTTTACAGCCAACTGCAAATTCCAATGTAAATATCTGAGAGACTAAGCTTAAACGTACTGGCAGATGTCTTTACATCTATACGGCATAAAAGAATACACATAAAATGAAACAAGCCATGTTTGACACAAAACTGAAGCAATTTATCTTATAAGCTTTTCTCAGTATGGGATGCTGCAAAAAGATGTGAAACAATGTGTAAAATTCAATAGTTCTAATACTAAGAAAAGCGCCAGGTAAACATCCTCAGATCTGCGCACTAAATTGTCAGACACCCAATATTAATAAAATAATAAAACAGCATCCTCAAAGTGTACGTGTCAAATGCCTGCAGGATAGTCTGTAAAGTAAAAACATTAAAAGTTGAACTAATTTAATTTATTTATTATAATAAGGTACAGGAAGATAACAAATATGGCTAAAAGTCATACAGTGTAGGGCCTTGACGGTATACCTTGTTCATCGAATTCAACTTCTTTTGCTTTAAACGAGCCTCATTTGCCTTTGCTTTTCTAAAATAATCGAAATACGAGAAATTCAGAGAAAAATTAA